TATTGAAATAATTTACTTCATGATTAAATTTTCCACAAGTTATTCCAAGTATTTTAATCGATAGACAGTCGGGTTATCAGTAGACAAAAATTCAGCTCTGCAGTTTTTGGTTTTTTTTTTTTTTGTCTTTTTGAGACAGGGTCTCCCTATAGCCGCAGCTGGCCTGGATTCACTTTGGAGACCAGGCTGGCCTTGAACTCACAGAGATCCCCCTGCCTCAGCCTCCCTAGTGCTGGGATTAAAGGCTTGTGACACCATGCTCAGCCAGCTCTACAGTTTGTATTCTCCATCTCAAATCAATTTCTACATGTCTTGACCTGCTAAGAAGGAAACAGTGAAAACAAGTATACAGAGGTAAATAGACTTAAGATTTAACAGTGCCTTTTTAAATGATTTCTATACCAGGTGTAGGTATATAGGGACTGAAACAAACTAGAATTCTGTTTTTCCCTCAAGGCAGACCTTCCCCTCCAGCCCTGTTTTTATGCACTCCACTGTGGAGTGTTTAATTCTGTCCTTTTTATTCAATTTGGGATTTGTTTTAATTTTTTTCATTTATTTTTATTTTATGTGTATGAGTGATTTGATTCCATGTATCTTAAGTATACCATATGTATGTAGTGGTCATAAATTTCAGAAGAGGGCATCCACTACCTGTGTGCAGCACCCTCTAAGATCAGAAGAGGTGCCCTGTCCCCTGGAACTGGAGTTAACCATCGTTGTTAGCTGCCATGTGGGTGCTGGGAACCAACCCAGGTTCTCTGCAGGAGCAGCCAGTGCTCTTAACCATTGAGCCATTCTCCAGGGCCTATCTCACTGCCTCCCTTCCCCGCCCACCCCACTTTTGGTTTTGATTTTGGGTTTTTTTGGGGGGGTGGTAATTTTGGTTTTTAAAGCAGGGTTTTGCTATGGTAATCTAAGATGGCCTTAAACTCACTATGTACCTCATACTAGCCTCAAACTCATAATCCTCCTGCCTCTATCTCCTGCGTTTTGGGAGTATTACCACACTTGATTCTCATTATCTTTTCTAAGTTTTTTAAAGAAAAACAGTAACTATAGCCAGGCTTGTCTAGAACTCAGGCTGGCTTTGAACTTCTGACATTTCGGTTTCATCATCTTGAGAGCTGAGATTATAGGCATCTGTTACCACCCTCAGCTCATTTTTACTATATTGTTTATGTTTTGGGAGAGTATCATGTATCCCAGGCTGACTTCGATCTTGTTTAGCTGAAAATGATCTTGAACTTACTGATACTCCTGTCTCTACCTTCTGAGTTCTGAGATTATAGGCATGTCCCACCATGCCCACTTTGTATGGTTCTGGGCATGGAACTCAGGGTTAAGTGCATGCTAAGCAAGTACTGTTGAGCAACATCCCTAGGCTCTCAGGTCTTTTTTTTTTCAATAGGAAAAATTGGGAGACTGTGTTTATATTTTCCTGTTTGTTCTTTTATGTAGTATCGTTTATAGAGGAAATGTCCACCACCTGCCCTTTTTTTTAAGATGGTAGTCCTATAGCCCTGCTTGGCTTCTAACTCACTGTATAGCCAAGGTTGGTCTTGAACTCCAAATTCCTTGCCTCCGCCTTCCAAGCGTTGGGGATTACAGGTGTGTACCACCTAGCAGAAATACTTGTTTTGTTTTGTTTTTAAAGTCATAAAATCTCACATTTGGGGCAGGGGAGATGGCTTAGTTGGTAAACTGCTTGCCTTATAAGCATGAAGACTTGAGTTTGGATCCCCAGTGTCCATTTAGAAGCCAAGTGTGAAATGGCTGTCTATAACTCACTTAGGGACAAACACATCCAGATCCAGTAGCTCACCTGCTGTCCCATCTAGCCAGTTAGTGAACTCTGGGTTCAGTGAGAGATCTGTCTAAAAAAATAAGATAGTTCACAGCGGAAGACATCTAACATTGATTATTGGTCTCCATATACTTGCATATATGCACACAAAAAAACCTCAAAAGTTGGAAGAGTAAAAGCTACCTTGCAGATTTTTTTTTTCTTTAGTATTCTAGATAAGTGATTGTCAAAAGTATTTGAACCTCTCATTTATCCAAAAACTCACTTAGAAAAGACTTGTCCCATTTTTTGAAAGCTCTAAAGGGTTTTTGTTCATATTGATTGAGTTAAAACTCTACCCTCTGGAGCCGGATATGGTGGTGCGTGCCTTTAATCCCAGCACTCGGGAGGCAGAGGCAGAGCGATCACTGTGAGCTTAAGACCAGCTTAGTCTACCTAGCCAGCTCCAGGCCAGTTGAGGCTACAGGGAGACCCTGTCTCAAAAAGACCAAAAATCAATCACTCAATAAGTAAATAAATGAATAAATAAATAGAATCTTTAAAACAATAACAACAAAACTCTGCCACCTGGAGGCCATTTTTTTTTGCACTCACTGTGTAGAACAGGTTGGCCTTGAACTCCCAAGATTTGCCTGCCTCTGCCTCCTGAGTTGTTGGACTAAAGGCGTGTGCCACCATACCTGGCTTTGGAGTCTTACATATAACAAATCTTATTTCTTCTTTCTAATGAGGTCCTTTTTTATGTGTAAGAAGAGGGTATCAGATCCCCTAGAACTGGAACTGCCATGTGGGTGCTCGGAACCGAACCTGGGTCTTTTGCAAGAGCAGCCAGTACTCTTAACTGCTGAGCCATCTGTTCAGTCCTAATGAGGAGGTTTTAATTTGATTGATAATTAACTTTATATTGATTTTTCTCTTCTAATTACCTTTTTTTCCTGACTTTTCTACATGTTTTAGTTCTGAGATACATTGTTTCAACTATGTTTTCTCCTTTTAAATATGCCAGAGGGAGATGAAGAGGTAGGGGTTATGTGTACTTCTGGCAGAGACCCGGGTTTGGTTCCCAACACTTGCATGATGGCTAACAATTGTCTGTAACTCCAGTTCCAGGAGACCTGATGCCCTCTTCTGCTCTTCTGGCCTCCTCAGGCAACACAGGTGCCCTTACATATATGGAGGCAAAACACTGATACACATAAAAACAAATGCCTCACCCCTAATTTTTAAGTGTACTAGATACATGTCTTGCTTTTTAGTGATCAAGGTTTGCTTTAAAATAAAAATTCTAAAAATTGCTGGGTGTGGTGGCACATGCCTTTAATCCCAGCACTCAGGAGGCAGAGGCAGGTGGATCTCTGTGAGTTCAAGGCCAGCCTGGTCTACATAGTTCCAGGACAGATGGGGCTACAGGGAGACCCTGTCTCAAAAAGACCCCCCCAAAAAAATATTCTAAAAGTTCATTATTGTTTGCATGATGTATATGTGACTGTACATGCTATGACATACCTGTGGAGGTCACAGGTCAATCTTGTGGAGTCATTTTTCTCCTACCTGTATGTGATTGCCAGGGATTGAAATCATGTGGCCAGTCTTGGTGTGGCAAGTGGCTTCTACCTGCTGAGCCATCTTACTGTATGTATGTGTGTGTCTTTTTGTGTGGGTGCATTTATGGGTGTGGTACCCATGGAGGCCAGAAGATGTTGGATTTTGCTCAAGCTGGATTTAGAGGCCTTGTGAGCTGCCATATGTGGGTGCTGGGAACTGTACTAGGGTCCTCTGGAAGAGAAGCAAATGCTCTTTAACTGCTGAGCCATCTCTCTAGCCTATCATCCATCTATATCTATCTATCTATCTATCTATCTATCTATCTATCTATCTATCTATCTATCATCTCTCATCTATCTATATCTATCTATCTATCTATCTATCTATCTGTCTGTCTGTCTGTCTATTTTTGAGGCAGTATCTTCGTAGATAGAGCAGGCTGCCTTGAACTTAGAATCATCCTGCCTCAGCCTCTCAAGTTCTAGGATTGCAAGCATGCTTTATATAACTTGCTTTTGATTAAGTTTTAAAATTTAATTCTCCTCAGCATGGTGGCACAGCACAGAGACAGGCGGATCTCTGTGAGTTCTAGGCCAGCTGGGGCTACAGGGAGATACTGTCTCAAAAAGACCAAAGAAAAAAATTATCTAATTCTCTGCTCATACCTAGTTATTTTAAGATTGTGTCAACTTGACAAAAAGACAAAAAAAGAAAAAAGAACCAGCACTTTTTTTTTTAAGTGCTATGATTACAAGAAAGATCCAGATCCAGAATGTGCAGTTTTAATACTATAAGAGTTCTGTTTCCCTCCTCCCATTAGCTCTATTTTTTTCCTTCCTTTCTTGTTTATTACTTGAAACAGGATTTCACTATGTTACTCATGCTGTTCTCAACTTGAGGTTCTCCAGCCTGAGACTCTTTGAGACACTGGGATCATAGGTATTCACTACCAATACCCAGTGTTGCTTCCCATTCTTTAGGTTCAGTTTAAATGCATCCTCTTGAGAAATGTTATTTCTGGGCTAGTGAGATGGCTTAGCTGGTAAAGACTCTTAACCAGCTTGATGACCTGAGTTCAATCCCTGGGACCCACATGGTGGAAGGAGAGAACCAACTTTTATAATTTGTCCTCTGACCTCCACTTGCACACCATGGCAAGTGTACATACATGCACACACACAAAATAAAATCTTTTAAATGTAATAAAAAATGAGAAAAGGTCTTTTCTGGCCACCCCATCTCTGGAAGCCTCCCATAGTAATGGGTAATATTGCAAATTTATTAAGACTCATAACTCATTTCATAGACATGTATTTTGGTGTTTTTTTCCCCTGAGATATAGAGACTCATGTAATCTAAGCTGACCTTGAACTTCTGATCCTCCTGCCTCTACCTCTGTAGTGCTGAGGTTACAGGTATATTCCGCCACCTCCAGTTTATAGGGTGCTAGGGATTGAACCTAGTGCTTTGTTCATTCTAGGCAAGCGCTCTACAGACTGAGCTAGATCTGCAGCCCCTCTTGTCTATGAAATTTTATAATTTAAAAGTCCATTAAATAAAGAAATATGAGTTAATATATTCTGAAAAACTGATACTTGTGAATTTTTGCACTGTGTTTTCAATATTATGTCTTTATTTTCTTTCGTAGAGAATGGATCTTGGAGAATGTCTGAAAGTCCACGACCTGGCTTTAAGAGCAGATTATGAAATTGCATCCAAAGAACAGGACTTTTTCTTTGAACTTGATGTATGTAATTTTGCTTCCATGGATTTCTTGCAGTAAAATGTTTTGAACGTGAATTACTAGCTTTTAGTATGAAAAGCTTAGCAGAGTCGTGGTTATGTGAAAGATAATAAATTTGCTTTTTCTGACAACACTTTAACTGTATAGTGCTGAGGATCAAACCCAAAACCTTGTATATGGTAGACATGTTATCACTGATCTAGCAAACATTTTTCAGTATTTAAGATAATAATGGATAGTTTATGAAATTGTGCAAAAGATAGTCTTTTGAAAAATTCACCTCATTTTTCCTCGAGAAAAGTAAAAATTACTCAGGAAATAGCAGTTTCAGCAAATCTAAATCACTCGTTTATTTTAAGGCTTTTAAAAAAGTAACTGCTGAATTTTTACATGATACATACTTTTTCATCACATGTATATATTCATATACTTTCCCACCCTAGTTTTGGGGGTGGAATCCAGGACCTTGTGAGTATTCAGTAAGCACTCTACACATCAGACTACATCCTCAGTCTGAGAACATGTTTTTCATTTGAAACTACTAGAAATAGAAAATACCATATAAGTATCAGAAAGGATTCCAAATGTGGCTTTATACTGATACTTTTAATACAAGGCAGAGACTAAATTATACAATATATTTGAAAGAGACATATTAACTCGTTAAACTTTTTTTGTATGCACGTGTGTGTGTGTGTGTGTGTATGTGTATTTTTTTAATGTATATGCATGTATGTAAGTGTATCCGTGTTGTGCAGTGCCCACAGAGGACAGAGAGGGAGTTGAATCCCCTAGAACTGGAGTTATGGATGGTTGTTAGCTGCTATGTGGGTACTGGGATTTGAACCTGAGCCTTCTGCAAGAACAACCAGTGCTCTTAACCTCTGAGCCGTCTCTCCAGCCCCTTTTTGTATTCTTATAAAACATACATATTACATAAAACATGGTAATGAGCAAAAATTTTAGCTTTTTATCAGTGAGAAAATAAATATTTTTACTTGGTTTCATAGCTAAAACAGTAAAGAGGGCTCACATCTTCTCTAAACATTGAATAACTTTTGCTAATAGAAATGAAAATCATCTATGTGAATACCTCTAAAACACTCTGGGCATAAATTATAAGAGAAATCATCAGTTGAATATTGTGGCTGGCTATTTAGATTATTTCTAGTCCTTCCTATTACAGTATGATAATAGGTAATTTTCACATTATTTAAAGGAGAATAGCTGAGTCAGAGGGTGGTTTTTATAGGTATTGCCCAGTCACTCTTTATGAGAATTTTATCTATTTTCCCATAATATATGAAAGTTTTTTGTTTAGCTTTGATAAATAAAATGTAGACTGTAAATAAGAGTTTTTTAATTCACATCTCTTTCTGAAAACTATGAGTGTCTTTGAATATTCCATGTGTATTTAAGATCTTATACAATGCAGTTGTTTTCTGGATTACTGGCCAACCTTTTCTATTAACTTTTTACGTATTATGAAAATGATTCCTTTCCCTTATGTATATTGTAAATATATTTTCCCATTTTATTTTTCATTTCATGGGTTTCATCAATGCATAACATTTTTTGTATCATTTCTTAACAGTGTTTATAATACATTTTCTTTTTTTTTAATGTTATTTTTTCACATTTATGAGTGTATTGCCTGCATGTGTGTAAGTGTACTCATGTAGTGCAGTGCCCTTGGAGGTCAGAAGAAGGTGTCGAATCCCCTGGAACTGGAGTTAAAGGTGGTTGTTAGCTGCCATGTGGGTTCTGGGACTCAAACCTGGGTCCTCTGCAAGAGCAGTCAGTGCTCTTAACCACTGAGCCATCTCTCAAGCCCCCTATATTTTCAATAATTTGAAAGATGCCTATTCTGACCTTAAAATAGTTCTTTCCTATAGTTTCTTCTAGTATTTGTGGGGCTTATGTTACATACTTAAATTCTTCATCTTTGGTTTCTTTTCCTTTAAGAAACAGATTGTATTTTTAGCTTCCTCCCATCACCTAAATAGCTCCTTATTTCTTGTTAAGTTCATCTTTACTCTCAATACTTTTAAGATACTATCTTTGTCTGCACATCAGAAAATTAAATGTTGTGATTGAAAAGGCAAATGTGACATTAGTCACTCAATCCATATTAACTTTGAGGAAATTCTTGGTTTATTTTGCTACTTTTATGATTCAATATGTGCTGAATAGATTTATAATTAGGTTGTAGATTTTTTAATTTTTATTTGCATTTTATGTGTATGAGTGTTTTGTCTGCATGTATGTAAGTACACCTGTGTTGTGCAGTGCCTGTGGAGATCAGAAGAGGGCATTGCATTCTCCTTGAACTGGAGTTACAGACGGTTGTTAGCCTCCATGTGGGTGTTGGGAATCGAACCCAGGTCCTCTGTAAGAGCAATCAGTGCTCTTAACTGCTGAGCCATCTCTCCACCCCCCCTTTATTGTATTTTTAAAATTTATGTGTACGAATGTTTTGCCTGCATTCATGTTGTGCAGTGCCCACAGAGACCAGAAGATGGTGTTGGATCCCCTGGAACTGATTATGGACGACTTTTAGCTACCATGTGGGTACTGGGATTCAAACCCATGCCTTCTGGAAGAGCAGCTAGTACTCTTAATCAGTGAGCTACCTCTCTAGTCCCTAGTTGACCATTTTTTATTTATTTTATTTTTTTAATTTTACGAGTATGAGTATAGCCTGCATGTATGTAAGTACACTGTGGCAGTCAGAAGAGGACATTGAATGAATTCCCCTGGAACTGGAGTTATGAATGGTTGTTAGCCACCGCATGGGTACTGGGATTTGAACCTGGGTCCTCTGCAAAAGCAGCAGTGCTCTTAACCACGGAGCCATCTCTGCAGCCCCAAGTTAACCATTTTAAAAATATCTTCTTTTTACAAATATTTATTTATTTGTTTATTTATTTGTTTTTCTGAGACCTTGAAGCTCCAGCTGGCCTGGAACACTATGTAGACCAGACAGGCCTCAAACTCACGGAAATCTGCGTGCCTCTGCCTCCCGAGTACTGGGATTAAAGGCATGCCACCACGGCTGGCTCTAGTTGAACATTTTTTTTTAACCAAAGGTTTTTTTTGTTGTTTTTTTAAATTTTTTTGTTTTTCTTTATTTTATGTGTATGAATATATTGCCTGCATGCATGTGAGTACACCCGTATCGTGTAATGCCATGGAGGTCAGAAGAGGACTTTGGATTCCCCTGGCACTGGAGTTAAGGACAGTTCGTAGCCGCCATGTGGGTGCTGGGAATTGAACCCGGGTCCTCTGCAAGAGTAGTCAGTGCTCTTAACCGCTGAGCCATCTCTCCAGCCCTGGGGGTTTTTTTGTTTGTTTTTTAATTTTTTATTTTATGTGTGTTTTGTCTACATGTAAGCTCATTATGTGCATGCAGTACTCATGAAGGCCAAAAGAAGGGCATCAGATCTCTTCTGAGCCACCTTGCCAACCTGAAACCTTTTTTTAGTTGATAGGTTGCATTTTTGAGATAACATTTTGCTTAAGTTGGCCTGAAACATGCTTTATCAGACTAGCTGGCCATCAGCTTGCCATTCTCCCAAGTGCTGAGATTGCAGGTGTGTGCCACTATACTTCTACTTTTTTTTATTTCTATAGTAGCAGTTTTCAAAATGGAATGTTTTTTGTTATTATTTTAAAGCTTTGGGTTTTTTCCTCTGGATATTTATTTTTAGGTATTACTGGGGATTGAATCAAGGGCTTCAGAAATGCTAGGCAAACACTCTTATCACTAACCATGTCCCCAGGCTTGGTTTGGTTTGGTTTGGGGGGGGTGGGGGTGTATTTGTGATTGAACCCAGGGCCTCATACCTAGTAACTAGGAAAGCATTTTGCTACATAGGGTGTCATCCTTGACCCAAAATACAGTTTTTAGTAAAGGTATTTCTGAATAAAATTGACTTTTTGGCAGTAATTTTTTTCATTAAATTTTGTAGGCCATGGATCACTTGCAGTCATTCATTGCAGATTGTGATCGAAGAACAGAAGTATCTAAAAAAAGATTAGCAGAAACCCAAGAAGAGATTAGTGCTGAAGTAGCAGCAAAGGTAAGAATTTCAGTCATTTCATTAAGTATAGTTTTAACCTATTTTATTCATTTCAACTTTTTATTGTTCAGTAATTATATTGATGACAAACAAGGAATGCCATCTAGTTTTTTTGCTAACCAAATGTTAATATCTTATATGAATACGGTAATCACATTTATATTAATCATTGTTTTATTCAGAATTCACCAGTTATGCATGCAGCCATTTGTATATGCATGTGTGTGTGCACCACCACACCCTATTAGGGTTTGAGGTACTTAACTGTAACATCACTAAAGACTCTTTCACGTTAATAGCCCCCCTTTTTGTGTTTGTGGGGGGTTCTTTTTGAGACAGGGTCTCCTTGTAGCTCCAGCTGTCCTGGATTCACTATGGAGACCAGGCTGGCCTGGAACTCACAGAGATCTGCCTGCCTCTGCCTCCCAAGTGGTGGGATTAAAGGTGTATGCCACCACGCCCAGCCAATATTTTTTATTTTATGCATATGAGTATATTGCCTGCATGTATATGAGTGCACCCATGTCGTGCAATGCCAAGGAGGTCAGAAGAGGATTTTGAATTCCCCTGGAACTGGAGTTAAGGACTACCATGTGGCTGCTGGGAATTGAATCCGGGTCCTCTGCAATAGCAGTCAGTGCTCTTAACTGCTGAGCCATCTCTCCATCCCCAATAGCCCCCTTTTTATAGCAACATGAATACCCCTCCATTCCTAGCTCCACAGCAATCTGAAATACATTCTTCATTATAATTATGCCATAAATGTTATGGCTATATAACTTGTGTCCTTTTGAGATTGCCTTTTTTTAATTTATATTTTTGCAATTAATCTCTTAAAAATTTGAGGCCGGGTGTGGTGTCGCAACATCTTTAATCCCAGCACTCGGGAGGCAGAGGCAGGTGGATCTCTGTGAGTTCAAGGCCAGCTCCCTGTAGCCCCAGCTGTCCTGGAACTCACTATGTAGACCAGGCTGGCCTTGAACTCACAGAGACCCACCTGCCTCTGCCTCCCGAGTGCTGCTGGGGCTACAGGGAGCTGGCCTGGAACTCACAGAGATCCACCTGCCTCTGCCTCCCGAGTGCTGCTGGGGCTACAGGGAGCTGGCCTGGAACTCACAGAGATCCACCTGCCTCTGCCTCCCGAGTGCTGGGACTACAGGCATGCACCCCCACAACCAGCGAGATTCCTTTTTTCACTACCCACAGCTTCCTTAAGTTTCATCTATTTATTTCCTATATCAGTAATTCCTTCCTTTATATTTCTTTTATTTTTTATTTATTTATTTATTTTTTTTTTGGTCTTTTTGAGACAGGGTTTCCCTGTAGCCACAGCTGGCCTTGAATTTACTATGAAGACCAGACTCGCCTCGAACTCAAAAGAGATCTATTTGCCTGCCTCTGCCTCCCAGGTGCTGGAATAAAAGGTGTGCATCACTGCCCCGGCTCTATCCTTTGTATTTCTTTTTTTTTTTTCTTTTTTCCTTTATTTCTGAGTAGTAGCCTGCAGTATGAATATTCCACAGTTTAGCTGTTCACATGTTGAAGGACATTTGAGTTGTTTATACCTGTTGTTTACTGTCAACAAAACTGCAGTAATGATTTGTGCATAGATTTTTGTGTGTGGGCATATATTTTCATTGGTTTTTATTTTTTGCATATGTTTATGTGCCTGTGTGGGCCCAAGTTTTAACATGGGTGTATTCCTGAACTGTTCTCCACCTCATAAATGAGGCAGGGTCTTGCTGAACCAAGAGCTCAGCTCAGCATTTTGCCTAGTCTGACTAGTCAGCTTGCTCTAGAGATTGATCTTTCCCTTCTATATGTTGGGATTACAGGCATGTTGCAGTCCCCTGTTCAATTCCCTTTTCCTCCTTGTTTTACGTGGGTTCCGGGTGTCTGGACTCCAGTCTTAACGCTTGCAAAGGAGGCACTTTAACCACTGGCCATCTTTGTAGCTCCATGTGTTTTTATTTCTCTGGGGTAAATCCTTAAGGGTGCAATTGCTGGACCATAATATAAATCCATTTTAGTTTTGAAAGTATTTACTAGTATTTTCTAGAGTGACTGTACAACTTTATAGTCTACTAGGAATGTGTAAATAATCCAGTTTTTCCACATCTCTTACCATGTTTATATCTGGGTGTTTGTGTAGTGGTATCTTAGAGTGGTTTTAGTTTACATTTTCCTAATGACTAATGATGTTGAATGTTTTTTAGCATTCGTGCTTACATTTCTGTGTCCTCCTTAGTGAACTGTCATATCTCCCCAGTTTCCTGTTGGATTGCTGGGGTGGAGTCATTTTTCCTTCTTGTTGGTTTTTGTTGTTATTTCATCATTTTGAGACAGGATCTCCCTGTAGCCCCAGCCCTGGAACTCACTACTATGCTGGCCTCAGTCTCAAAGATCTGCTTGCCTTTACCTCCCAAGTGCTGGAATTAGAGTCATGTACCACCCCACCCAGCCCCTTATCATTTTTTGTGGGGATTAAGATCTCTATGTTCGAACTCAGAGCAGTCCTGCCTCAGCTCTCCAGAAAGTGCTACCTCACTTGGGTTTATTTATTTTTATTTTATGTGAGTGAGTGTATTGCTGCGTGTATGTAAGTGCACCCATGTTGTGCAGTGCCCAGAGAGATCAGAAAAAGGCATTGAATTCCCCTGGAACTGGAGTTATAGCTGGCTCGTTGTTAGCTACTACGTGGGTGCTAGGAATTGAACCCACGTCCTCTGTAAGAGCAGTTAGTGCTCTTAACTGCTGAGCCATCTCTCCAGCCCGACAGTAATTCTTTAATGCCATCTTATAGTCAAATATATTAATTTTTTTATATGGATTTGATTTATCAGAATTGAGAGAAGTCTTAATGTAGTAGTGTATTTGGTTAATCTGAAGACTTACTGCCACTTTGGTAAAAAGGAATAGTGATAAAAGAGTTGACCTTTTTTTTGGAGACAGGGTCTCCCTGTAGCCCCAGCTCTCCTGGAACTCACTATGTAGACCAGGCTGGTCTTGAACTCATAAGAGATCCACCAGCCTCTGCCTCCCGTGTGCTGGGATTAAAGGCATGCGCCACCATGCCCAGCTAGAGTTGACCTTTAGGATAAGAATGTTTTAGATTAAAGCTGGGCGTGGTGGTGAAAGCCTGTTGTCCCAGCACTCTGGAGGTACAGGCCAGCCTGATCTACATAGCAAGTTCCAGGCCAGCTGGGGCTACAGGGAGACCCTGTCTCAAAAAGACCAAATAAAACACAAATGTTTTGGATTAAAAGTACTTTGAGAAGTAAAACTTGTTGGTACACCTCTTTGTTGAGACTAGATGTTTATATCAAATTAAAACTTTGATTGTTGGTTGTGGTGATAAATCCCTTTACTTGGGAGACATAAGCAGGAGGATTGAGAATAGAATCCAGTCTGGACTATGTAACAAGACTGTCTCAAACAAGTCTTTGTTTTGTTCGTTGAGACAGGGTCTTACCATGCAACCCTGGCTGGCCTAGCGCTTGTTACGTAGATGAGCCTGGCCTTGAACTCACAGAGCTCTGCTTGCTTCTCCCTCCCAGTGCTGAGATTACAGGTGTGCACCACCATACTCGGCCCTTAAATGGATCTTTTATGAGCACTTCTTAAAATACTTTGATATTTAATGTTCATTCTGGTTTTTTTTTGGCGGGGGGGGAGACAGGGTCTCCCTGGAGCCCCAGCTGGCCTGGAACTTGCTTTGTAGAACAGGCTGGCCTTGAACTCAAAGCGATCCACCTGCCTCTGCCTCCTGAGTGCTAGGATCAAAGGCGTGTGCCACCATGCCCGGCCTCATTCTGGTTTTTTTTTTTTTTCCACCATGATGGACTGTCATTCCCCTGGAACTGTAAGCTCAAATAAACTCTTCCTTCTATAAGTCCCCAAAGTCAGTGTTTCTATCACAGCAACAGAAAAGTGACTAATACAGACAGTTTGTAGCCGCCATGTGGGTGCTGGGACTCAAACCCAGGTCCTCTGCAAGAGCAGTCAGTGCTCTTAACTGCTGAGCTATCTCTCCAGCCCCCTCATTCTGTTTCTTACTTGTGATCTTTTTTTCCTGTTTTTCTAGGCAGAACGTGTTCATGAGTTAAATGAAGAAATCGGTAAATTGTTGGCCAAAGTGGAACAGTTAGGAGCTGAAGGGAATGTGGAAGAATCTCAGAAAGTAATGGATGAAGTAGAGAAGGCACGGGCAAAGAAAAGAGAAGCAGAGGTAAATTCCTTTTGTTGTTGGATTTTTTTTTTTTTTTTAATGATAAATCTTAAGAGCTATGCCATCCAGCTGTCCTGGAAAGAGGTAAGTTCTTAATTAATGGTAAAGCATTAGTGTGTGTGTTTCCTGTAGAACATTATTTAACTGGAATTATTGAAATTTAACTGGAATTTATTAAAGGAATTTCAAATCAATTTAGAAATAGTTAAATGATCATTATAACGCTGGGTTCTATTTCAGTTAGCAATTTTTTGAAATTTGGAGTCATTGATATATTGAAATTTATAACTGGTAAATATAATTAAACCAATTAGACATACAACAAACACACATGCTTGTGCTATCCTTTTCCCCATTGGTTCCACTTCACATATCAGTACAGTCTGCCTGCTAATAATACCTTGGGATTGTTCTCATTCTTTTATGACACAGATCAAAATCTGATATCCTGTAGATAAATTATATTTTGATTAGCATACCCAGATTCTTATTTTTTTAGAAATTCAAATGGCTCTTTTTTTTCGGGGGGAGGGGGGACCTTTTTTGAGACAGATCTCCCTGAAGTCTCAGTTGGCCTGAAACTTGTTACGTAGACCAGGCTAGCCTGGAACTCACAGAGATCTGCCTGCCTCTACCTCCCAAGTGCTGGGACTGAAGGTGTGCTGTAGTCTTTGACCATGGTTTTGGTCCTGATCCCATCTAGATTGCTTCATGATCATTATCTTCTCAATCCTTAGCAGTATCTCCTTTTTTCTTCTTTTTTAAAAAAATATTTTATTTATTTTACGTGTATGTGTGTGTTTCCTGCACCCCTGTTATGCAGTGCCTGCAGAGGACAGAAGAGGCTGTCAGATCCCCTGGAACTGGAATTAACAGTGGTTAGCTGCTATGTGGGTGTTGGGATTCAAACCCCGGTCTTCTATAAGAGTGGTCAGTGTTCTTAACTGCTGAGCCATCTCTCCAGACCCTCCTTTTATTCTTAAACCTCTTCATTTAATGTATTTTGCTTGATGAAAGTATAGAGTTGTGCTTGAGGTGGCCCACACCTGTAATCCCAGCACTTGGAATGCTGAGGCAAGAAAGTCACATATTTGTAACAAACTTGAGCTACCTGCTGAGACTGTTTTTGAAAAAGAATGCAAGATCAAAAACAAGGGAAAACCATATCATTCAAACCATTGTGAGAGTTTTTACTTTTAAAAAATTTTTTAATTTAAATTTAACTTTATAATTTTTATGTGTATGAATGTTTTGCCTACATATATGTAAGTGTACCACATGCATATAATACCCAGAAAAGGGCAACAGATCCCCTGGAACTGGAGTTATAGACGGTTGCTAGCTGTGGGTGTTCTCAAGAGCTCTTAACCACTGAGCCATCTCATCAGCCACATGTTTTCCCTCCCCTTCTTTTCTGTTCTGGTAGTACAGTTCTTCATACTAGAGAGGAAAAGCAGAATAAAAGGAAGCCATTTTAGTACCTTCTTCAGCATATAAATGCCTTAATATTGGTGTTCAATATAGGAAGAAGGCAAAAAAATCAAAGGAAAGTAGGATCAAAGGAAACACTGATCATTGCTCCTTACAATACCAGTATAATAGCCATATCATAATTGGGACCCTAAGACATCAAGAAAATATCTGGAGGAAGAAAAGGGCCTCATGCATATTAGATATTTTTCAGAGGCCCACTTCCCTCCCTGTCTTCTTCCTTGGGATTGAACTCACATCCTCATGTACAAGGCAAGCTCTCTATCACTGAGGTGTATCCCTTTCCTTATATTAGTCGAACGTTTCATTTATTTATGAGAAGTCTGGGTTGCTCATGTTTGCCTCAAACTTGTGATCCTCCTTATTGTGCTTTCCAAGTGCTTAAAATACAGACATATGACGTACTATGGACTATGGGCATCGTTGACCAGTTATTTTGTAAAATGTTAACTTCAGTGGAGTATACCTCTAGCCCTTCATGGTTAGATGATGATGATGATGATGATGATGATGATGATGATGATGATGATGTTGTTCTTGTTGTTTGAGACAGAGTCTCACTAGGTAGACCAGGATGGTCAGGTTGGCCGCAACAGGGCCTCTTAATGGCCTGAAACTTGCCAAGTAAGCTATACTGGGTAGCCAGTAAGCTCCAGAGAGTCATTCACCTGTCTCTGTTTCCTCACTGCTGGAATTATAATTTTTTAAAATTACATTTATGGGGGAAGGGTAGCATACATACCATGGTGCACATGTTGTGGTCAGGGGTCATCTTGTGTGAGTTCGTTCTCTCTTTTCATTGTGTGGATTCTGGGGATCAAACTCAGGTCTCAGACTTGTCAGTAAGTTTCTTTTACTGGCTGTGATGCCTTGCTAGCTCTGTCTGGCTTTTTTTTTTTTTTTT